CTCTCTCTCTCTCTCTCTCTCTCTCTCTCTCTCTCTCTCTCTCTCTCAATCAAAGTCATCAGAGTTTTTACCTACACTAAAATGACTGAGCTGTTTATCGTTTTAGTTCATCATGGAGCCACACCGTAACATAAAGTATGGCCTGCCTGCTAAACAATGGAGCAAGTCATACCCCTATGCACCCTGACACCATTACCTGTGGACTTTTGCAAGTCTGCGAGTCTGCTAAAAACAGGACGTGTAAATATAAACTTGCTTTTCCTAACTCTCACCTTCCCTTCAACTCTCACTTATCTTTACGCTTTTACTAACCATTCACTTCCCTTCTTAACTGTCCGCCTCTGAGCATACAGCATTTTACCTCCTTTCCTAACTGTCTTTCGCTAAGCAGATGAAACCTACATTCTTTAGAGCAAAGGTATAAAAGCCAGATGTAACTTTAATACTGCACTCTTGTTCTGTGGAGACCATTGGTCGCTGTACGATCAGAGCCCATTTGCAAATGCTACAACAAATGCTTGAAAGTCAACTTGATTCTCAATCTTAATTTCAGATTCCCACCAAAAACTTGCCGTTGTCGGCAGGGTAACTCAAGTGAAGGGTTCAGGACTCGGAGTTGACGAGGAATAGTGCACATCCTGAATTGAAGCTTCAGCCCTGACCTCCGCTCAGAGACGGATTGAGAGGTGAGGACCTAAGACGCCTCTGAAAAGCTCATCGAAGATAACCAAAGAAAGGGGAAAGAGAAAATCGACTCCAAGCTCCCGTTAGCACAGCTGACCATTTACCAAGGGCAGTACAGATGGATACATTAAAAGCAGCAAGAATAGCAACCTCTGAAAATGCTGAAAAATACACAAATCATGTGCAGAGCTCTGTAAAAAAAAATTGAAATACATAGCAATATGTGGAAAATGGATTGCGACATGCACATGTCTAGTTTATAAAAACACTGTCAAATTAAGTTCTATTTACATTATATATACACAGGATGCTCATCATAATTGCTCTTATGTTACAATTCAAATAACAAAATCATGGGGCGAGTGGTATTTACAACATCGAGAAAACGAATTGGCTTTTCCAAGTGTAATCTTAAAAACGGCTCTCTCGTCTGAGCCCAGATCTCTCATTGGTTTTGCCAGTCCACAGCTTACATTGTCTTTGACTGAGCAGTGCTATTAGAGATGGTTCAATCAGGCAGCCAGGACCTCCCCAAAACCTCACAACCAACCACAAAACACTCCATGAAGCTTGCTCTGTTCAACACTCGGTCACTAAGCAACAAAGGCCCAATCATCAATGAATTCATCACTGACAACAACCTTGATATCCTCTGTCTCACTGAAACTTGGCAAAAACACCTGGATTACTACGCACTCAATCAAACCACCCCAACTGGATATCATTACCTGGATAAACCACGCCCTGATGGCCGCGGTGGAGGAATTGCCGCTCTTCACTGCCAACATATCAAGACCAGACTGACTAACATCGACAGTCCACCCTCATTTGAACAGCTCACATTCAAACTCTCTGGTCCTAAACCCCTGGTCATTGCAATTATCTACCGCCCCCCCAAACCCAACCCTGCCTTCCTCTCTGACCTATCTGAATTCCTCACCCAGCTCTGCTCCGTCTCACCTTCCATCCTGTTGCTTGGTGATTTCAACATCCACATCGACTCCTCAGACTGTAAAACTGCCACCGAATTTCTGGACCTGCTTAAATGCTTCAACTTCACTCAACACATCGACTTCCCCACCCACAACATCTTGGACCTGGTCTGCTCCACTGAAATCACCATCAACCACCTCTCCGGCTATGACCTCGCCATCTCCAACCATCTAGCCATCATCATGGAGATCGACATCCCAATCCCAGAACCCAAACTCACGCGCACCATCACTCTCCGAAATATCAAGTCTGTCTGCCCCTCATCCATGTCAGCCTGTCTCACTGAAAAATTCTCCACACTCTCCCCCTCCCTTAGCCCCTCCCCCTCAGACCTGGTCAACCTCTACAATAACACACTATCCTCCTGCCTTGCTCAGCTTGCCCCTCTCAAAACCAGAACTGTCTCATTCACCCACACTGCTCCCTGGTTCACCCCTGAACTCCGCCTCATGAAATCCCGGAAACGCAGACTAGAGCGACTCCAAAAAAACCGGCCTCACAGTTCACACCCTGGCGTACAAGGAACACATACAGCAATACAAACTGGCTCTAAACTCTGCTCGCTCCACCTACTACTCTGGCATCATCCGCTCTGGTTCCACCAACCCCAAGGTCCTCGTCTCCACAATAAACAAACTCCTCAAACCAATGGACAATCTCTCCCACTCCTCCACAGCAGAGAAATGCAACGCCTTTCTGACGTTCTACAAAGCTAAAATCGACACCATCTACAACCAACTGGCCACTTCCAGCCCCGCTTTGACCAACCCTGTATCTGCAAATCCTCCACTAACTGACCGGTCACTCTTCCGATTCTCTCTCATCTCCCCCTCGGATCTCAATAAATCACTCTCTGGCATGAAGACTCCGACCTGTGACCTCGACCCTATCCCTTCCACTTTAATTATGGCCTGTCTCCCGGCCCTCCGCCCGCACCTCCTCTCTGTCATCAACTCCTCCCTGTCTACTGGCTCCGTCCCTCCCGCCCTCAAACTCGCCTCAGTCACCATCCTCCCCATCCTCAAAAAACCTGGCCTTGACCCCGACATTCACAATAATTACAGACCCATCTCCAATCTCCCTTTTCTGTCTAAAATACTGGAACGCACTGTTGCCCATCAACTGAAAACCGACCTGGACTCAAACCAACTGTATGAACCATTTCAATCCGGATTCAGATCTCATCACAGCACAGAAACTGTCCTCATCAAAGTCACCAACGATCTCCTCCTCTCCTCTGATGAACACTCCCTCAACATCCTGATACTGCTCGACCTCAGCGCAGCCTTCGACACCATCAACCACTCCATCCTCCTTTCACATCTCGAGTCCTCCCTCCACATCACTGGCACAGCCCTCTCCTGGTTTAAATCATACCTCTCCGACCATGAACAGTTCATCAGCATCAACAAATTCAAGTCTGACACAGCCCCAGTCTCTCAAGGTGTCCCCCAAGGTTCAGTACTCGGTCCCCTCCTCTTCATCCTCTACCTGCTCCCCCTTGGTGACATCATACGCCACCATGGTTTCCAGTACCACTGCTATGCTGACGACACCCAGCTCTAAATCTCTACCAAATCCATCACCCCCACCATCCACTCCACCATCACCAACTGCCTCACAGATATAAAAACCTGGATGCAAGTCAACTTCCTCAAACTCAACACCGACAAATCTGAAGTCCTTATCATCGGCCCCAAATCATTAAACAATTCCCACCACAACTTCTCCCTCTGCATCGATGGCATCACTGTTCCTGCCTCCACACATGTCCGTAACCTCGGGATCATTTTCGATCAAACTCTCTCATATGAACGCCACGTCAATCACATCACAAAAACCGCCTTCTTTCATCTCAAAAACATCGCCCGTCTCCGTCCCTCCCTCTCCTCCGCAGCCGCTGAAACACTCATCCACGCCTTCATCACCTCTCGACTGGACTACTGCAACAGCATCCTGTACGGCTCACCCACCAAAATCATCAATAAACTACAATACATTCAGAACTCAGCTGCCCGTCTGCTCTCCCACTCCCGCACCAGAGACCACATCACCCCAGTCCTTCAAAACCTCCACTAGCTTCCCATACAGCAAAGAATCCAGTTCAAGATCCTCCTCATCACTTACAAAGCCCTCCACAACCTTGCCCCTTCATACCTTTCGGACCTCCTGTACCATCACACTCCCAACCGCAACCTCAGATCTGCAGACGCCAACCTCCTTACCCCCCCTACTCTGTCCAAGCATCGGACCTGGGGGGACAGGGCCTTCTCCGTTGCTGCCCCCTCCTCTCTGGAACTCCCTGCCCCAACACCTCAGACATTCTTCGTCACTCGCCACTTTCAAAACTGCACTTAAAACTCACCTATTCAAATCTGCTTTTAACCTCTAAAGTCAGTCATGTATGTTTTCTTTCTTTCTTTTCATGTTTATTTATTTTTTTTTTTTCTTACTGTTATGTTGTATATTTTGTTCTTATTATAAATGCTTTTATTGTTTCTGTTTTTAACATGTAAAGTGTCTTTGAGTGCCTTTTAAAGCGCTATATAAATAAAATGTATTATTATTATTATTATTATTACAGAGGACAGTAAAGAGGTTGTGGGCGGGGGACGAGGCAAAGGACATGGGTCTTTGTCTGTGGAGGGCATGGACATTGGCGAAAGACTATCCAGACAAGAAACAGAAGGCTGATTGAAGCCAGGAGAAATAGAGGTTCTTCCATCTTAATTTCCTGTGTGCAGTGGAGAAATACAGACAGACATAGATAGCGAGATACCTTTAAAGTTCGGTCTTATCCTGGCATCATATCCCGACGTCCTGCCCATCAGTTTGTCCAGAAAATCCGAGGGAGACATTGGGGCCGGCCGTGTCCTCGCAACATTGTCCACCTCCTTACACTGACCAACACTGTGATAGAAACAAAACACAGATCATGGACGTGATCGTCTGCGATGTTTTCACAGTACAGAGCTAAACAGCTAACGTTAGCGGAGGTTGCCTTTATCTGCACAGCATCTACTGGGTAACAATGTGTGTGACAAAGGTACATTATAGTGTTATTGTCATGTGTCTTGTAAAACATTGTAAAATGTCATTTTTCATTATATTTTTTCACAGCAACATAAAGAAGTTATGCTAGAGGGAATTATGACCTGTTTAACTTCCTTACAGTGATGCTAGCTCTAAGCAGCTTATAATATATATATATAATCAAACCAAATATTTAGATAAAAATATAATAATTAATTTCCTAATCATATGAATTGTGTACCTTTCTTTAAATAACCATTGTAGATTACAATAACAAGGTAAAATGATAACATTTGTGAGGGTTTGCACTGACTTTGGGACGAAAAAAGTCTGGAGCCCTGCCGTCAATTATAGTTATTTGAGAGAAATTTGGAATCTGCAAAGTTCTGAATCGGCAGGTCAGACTTTAACAAAATTGGCAATCGGGATCAGCTACAAAAAAATCTACTTTTGAATTTAAAATTTCTTTAAATTGATTTGGGAAATGAGGAACTCTGGCGACACACAGTCACTCGTAGCTAAACTACAACAGAAACATTTCAATTAATTTAACATTTTAATAAAAACATTTTTCCTTTGGTAAATTTTGACACACTAAATAGTGAACTGTCTTGACAGTGCTGACCTTTGTGGGAATAAGACATTTGTCCAAAATGGAGGAGTAGCTGTGGAGTTATATGGTGCCTCTGAATGCCACTTTGCAGGGTTTTAGGCTTTTCTCCTTGTAAATAGTATCTTTAAAAAAAAAAAATTGTATATGTGTAAATAAAGAACAAAAAAAAACATCCAATTTCATGTAACTCTGCTCTCTCGTATATAAACTGCTCCACAAAAGAGGCATGGTTGAATTCTTTGTTTTTTATCTACTGGATAGTGTGTGTACGTGTGTATGTGTGTGTTCGGAGGGGGAGAGGCGGAGAGGGCTTCTGCGGTGACTGGGTAGTAGCTTCTAAATGCTAAGGTAAGCTTATGTATGTGTGTGTGTGTTTATTTGTCAGTAGGAATAAAACATCCCAAAATAGCTCTGCTCACTGCAAAGATCATACTGTTGAACACACACACATCAGCACATCCAAGTGTAGTTTCAGGCTCATCAACCTTTACTCTGACATTTGGGAGCAGCCACCATTTACCCCCAGCAGGGAATAACCTGATACAATCCTGAGACCAGAATCAGGGTGTTGACCATAAGTCTGTTTCCTCATTTAACCTCTTCCAAACACACACTCACACTGGCGGTGACAAGAAAGGACAAGTAGCCCGGTGCTCATTAATATGCATTGGGCTTTGGGAGAAGGGGAGTGACAGAGAGCAGAGACATAGCTGGAGGAGGGATCTAGTGACTTTGAGACAGGAGAAAACTACAACCCATGGCAAATAAAAAGGTCAAAAACATGCCCTTTCATTTTAGCCACTGTTACTTTGTCAGTTCCCATCAGATACAAAATAAGTCAAACTTGATATGTCATATGCCCTCAGATCTCAAGACACTGGCCCTGCTGTCCCTAAAACCCAGAAAAAAAACATTAGTCAGCAGAGTGTTTCCCTGCCAAGAACAAATCCCTGTTGTTATGGGGAAGGGGAGGGGTCATCAAATATAAACTCAGAAATAAATCTGTTGTCATTGTCAATGTCTGACTTCAGCATCATCTAGCTTGGGAGTGACTACATTCTTCCGTCCTGCTGTCGGAGAGAGAGCGCTGACCTGGAGTCACGCAACATGGGAGCAAAGCGTGGAGCTGCTTTTTGGTTGATGCATCGCCACGCTCACTCTCTGTCTGCTCTCTGTCCGAGTCTCCCCATGGATGTGGATGCGTGTGCTCGGAGTGTGAGTCATGCTCGCCATCATGTATGTGTGCCTTTATTACGAGCCCCACCGCTCCTCTTGGCGAGACCCGCCCTGGGCAGCATCCAACCTCCAGGATTTGCCAGGCGTCTGTGCTCGCAGAGTCACTGGCAACCTGATTTGTTAGGGTCCTATGCCCATGAGCAAGAGGCTATCTTGACCTGGAATATAACAATGCTGATTTGGCTTAGAATATGGAAAGATGTCCATCATCGTGTTAAAATGAGGGGGGGAAAAATCCATCTTAAGTTCTGAGTTGCCTGTGGATGCAACTGTGAATGGTATACAATATCAATAGTGTATACGAGCAGCACACAGACAACCATGCAACCTATTACAATTAATTAGCCCTACATTTTCAGTTACTGCTGGCTTTACCCTTACTGGTGCTGCTCTTTATGCTTACAAAGACACCTCCATCAAACCAGAGGCCTTACTCTCACCAGTTAATGTGTCAGTCTTTCCGTGCCATCCATTTTGTTCCACCTCTCCCTGGAACAGTTTCTTTCTTTGGACAGCACAGGGAACACTCACGCTCACACAGCATTGTCAGCTCAGAGCATCTCACATCAGCTGCTAAGCTGCTTATGTTGCTGTTGCGCTACCTCTCCCCATGATTTCTCATGTTCTCTCTCCTCCCTCCTGCCTCCCTTTTCTATTCTGTGCTCTCCTCCTCTAAAACACCAGAGAGCAATTGTTAAGTAATGTAGAGCGACGCGGCATAACATCTGATCAATAATGGATTAGCTTTTGACCTAGAACTGCTGCCTCCCTCACAAAAAAATGATATAGGTGCCATCAAGAGCTCATGATCAACCATAATAGTATAAATAGTTAAAAGCACATTGCATGTTTGAAGGCCAAGTAATACCACTTCATACCAAAAATTGGTTGTGGTCATGAATTGAGTTAGCCATGTTTTTGACTCATCGCTGTTTAGGAAGAAAGTCTCTGAGCATAGCATAGTTTAATTCAAAACATTCAAACATCTGAAACAGAATGATAGCGTGTTGTGCTACTGTGGGTCCTTTCTTTTGTGCTGGCACATTACGAATGTTGTGTGGCTTGGCCAGAGCCAAATGTGTCACACTTAATTTAGCTTTTTTATCTGCAACAGACAATAAATGAATAAATAATAAATATATGGCCTTGTTCACATGATTTTGTGAGTTTGTTAAACAATCTTAGGTTTCACAGTCAGAGGCAGGCGCCAGTGATAAGAAAATGAAAACCTTATTAGTAGCAGTTATAATCCACGACAAAAATTTCATTTTCCCAACATTTATTCCAGGTTAATCACATGGGTTCCCTTTCATATCCATATCTTATGGATACCTGCATTTATTACAAAATGCTCAGAACTCAACTTGTTTAGGTTTCAGTTCAGTACAGTCTATGAACCACCCAAATTACGGTACGTGTAGAACATAATGTCCAACGGCTCGACCTGGAAAGAATAGGCAATGTGTCCGTTGTTAGTGAGGATAGTCAAACCAACACCGACTTGAACATGGAGGATACAAATGGGAAGCCTGAGCAGTAAGACTCGCCGTTATCGGGCCCAGTTCTGTGGACAAAGAGTAGTGGATCAGACAGAAACTGTGACTAAAAACTGTTCAGCTTAAGATGGGTCAGGTGATATCTCTGGAAATAGTGATATAAAACACGTCAACACTATGTCATGAGCATGTCTTCCACTGTTTGTGCATATTTCTGGAGCAAGACCAAAAAAACTGTGCAGCAAATTATTCTCCCCATGGTTTTCAAGCAGCCCCTTTTATGATACAAAATGATGGCACATGGGATCTCTTCTGCCGGACATACGAGAACAAAAATCACATTGCAACTTTCAAAAAAACAAACGGAAACTAGAAAAGTGCACTCAGTTACAGTGCAGATCTCTGCCAGGTGTGTCTGCAACGACCATTAATGTAATGGTTGATTGAAAACGAACCACAATACACTCGGAAACACAAGGTTGACGCCGGATAAAAAGGCACTGAATAATATATTTAGCTACATTTGACAACCTAAGCGGAGCAGAGATTGTAAATGCACAGATTCTTCCTTTCACTTTTGCCCAGCAGCTAGGAAGCAAGACTCAAGAACTTCTTGGGTATTGAGGAGCTGCAGTGTTTATGGACAAACTGTAACCCACAGGTACATGTGCTACACAACTTCACTGCTAACCTTTCCCTCTGCTCCAATCGCCAACACCTGTCTACCCTGAGAGCAGTCCCTCTCTCCGTCTCTCTCTCTCTCTCTCGCTCGACCACACACATTCGCTACACATTCAAGGATTCAAGGATCATTTATTGTCATTATGTAACACATGGATAAACAACGAAATTCAGTTGCAACCAATTTGTAACATAACAAACACATGACAAACAAAACAACAACAGCAGTACATTTCTGTAGGGCATTTTCTGAACTTGCATCATAAAGGATGAAAACAGCAGCAACAAAAACAATTCTCTGGGCAGATAATATGGCCGACATCCCCTCGCCAAAAATTCAACATGAGGAAAACACTGTCCATCAACCCCGATTGTGCCCAAGCACCAAGCGCCGCTATGCAAACACAGAGTCCACCTACTCTCGCCCCACCGGATTCCTGCTCTCTGTCCTGCTGTCCACACATCAAGTGCAGCTTGATCCTGGACCACGATGGATCCAGGTCTCTGTGAAGATTTGGGCTCAACAGTCACCGACCTCCCGCTGCTTTCATCCATTTATTTTTCTGCCGGGCATCAGATAGCCAGCAGCATGCTGGGTAGTGGAGTAGCCTCAGGTCCTAGCTGGGTTAGCTTAGCTTCCATCTCAATTCCATCCTCCCTGGGGCAGTTTGGTGGCGTTTGGTCCAGCAGGTCTGACGGATCATCTCCTCCCAGGAGATGATCCTGGGATGGTTCATGCTTAGCGGAGATAATAATATTGATCTAAATAAAAGAAATAATGGTGCTTGTGCAGTCCCTCTGTCCAATGGGGACACATTTTGCCAGTTTCTTTTAAGGCATCCACAAAGTTAGCAACTTTAGGAGTGAAGGTAACAATGTGAAAGGGATCCATCTTTGTTCATTATACTACAGCTGCTACATTCATTCCTTCGTGCGAGGAGGAACATTGGCAGCACTGCCAGAGCCCTATAAAATGACCTCCAGCGGGCTACTCGTGTGCATGTTTCTGACCCAACTGTCAGAATCAGACTCCATGAGGGTGGCAGGAGGTCCTGACGTCTTCTCGTCGGACTTGTGCTCGCAGCACCATGTGGCTTGATTGGCATTTGCCAAATTACATCACAATTGGCAGGTTCGTCATAGGCGCCCTGTTCTCTTCACAGATAAGAGCAGGTTCACAACATCTCCGTACATCTGGCCACCAAATTTGGTGTGGACTCAGCACATCAATAGACCTAACTCCACAACCATAGGTACCAACCATCAGAAAAGTCGCAGACATATCCACAATAAGACTTGACACATACCCATCAAGTTTCATTTAAATTGACCTCAAGGGGGCGAAACAGGAAGTCAACTGATTTGGGCAATTTTAAGGCATTTTGGCCCACTTCCAGTTTTCACAGACGTACTTTGACGACCTCGTCCTACAGATTTCATCAACACCAAATTCGGTCATTACTATCGAAAGATAAAGATGTTGCTGTTATTTGGCTGCCATTTTGTGCCATTTAACATTCAACACAAAGTTATTTTTCAGGGGTTAGGGACGTTGGGAAATGTACAAAACTTGTAAACCCATTACAAAAGCTAAAATAAGGCATTTAATATGCTTTTTGTGCTTGGGTGTGGCAAGGCGGCTTGATAGAAGCCGCCACTGCGGTACGTTTGACCTAGATGTACGAAATGTCGGAGTCAGATTAATCAATTGCAGTCAGAAACAGTGAGTTGACATTTTTTTTATTTTGTGTGAATTATTCATGTAATTTTGGCCATTTCCAGGCTTTGTACTCCTCCTTGATAGTTCAGGATTTAGTTACTTTCCAAACTCAGATTATTAAAACAAAATATAACCAACTAATAAATGATAATTTATATAGAGTAAACTACCCAGCTGTAAATAAAGTATTTAAAATGAGCTCCACCTTCACCAGCTGCAACATTAAAGAGATAAACACTTCAATACATTAATACATATAATACAATAACATATTATATATTACTCTGCATAATGAATATTGTACTTTCGTTTCATTAAGTATAATCAGATGATAACACTTTTGTACTTGTCTTTGAGTAACATTTTACATGCAGGACTTTTACTTGTTATAGAGTATTCTACACTGTATTATTGCTACTTTCCCCTAAGTAGACATCTGAGGACTTCTTCCACCACTGTATGTTAAAGTTAGTTTATTGAATTATTAAAAGAGTTTTTTGTTCACTCACACACACAGCTGTTGTTCTTTTCTTTCTTTTGTCTCTCCGCCATCTGCTGTCTGTCTGTCTGTCTGTCTGTCTCTATACTGGGACTTTGAACTAAGGGCGTTTGCACATGGACTTTCTTAATAATAGTAAAATTAGTTATTACTTTTAGTTACTTTGGGAGCCACACCGTACTATAATGTTATGCAACCTGAGGATTGTAATGCAAAACCAGATGGCACCTGATCTACTTCATATTATAGCTATATCCAAGAAGTGCCTGACGGGATGCTTTGTGGGTGCATCTACCAAGCCTATAGGCAAGCGGGAAGAGCCCCATTCTACCGCAGTGTTTCCTACAGGATTTTGTGAGACTAGGACTTGGACCCTGAGCAAAAATTCCCCTTCCCCATATGCCATTTGTATTCTTATCTAAATTACATTTTGAATGCAGGACTTCTACTTTTTACTTACACTGTAGTCATTAACACATTGGTTGTAAATTCATCGACAACAGTTGAACAGCTTACAAGCACTGTCTGTGTAATGATGCGCACACACACCATTATTCCAGCAGAGTGACAGAAGTCGCTGCTTGTTTGACCTGTTGCCCGTGTTATAGGAATACAACTGAACATCATAAATCATCGCACCTACTTCACGAACCCCACAGCGCTCGATATCAGACAGTCTGCTGGAGCAGAAGTTTATGTTTGCCAGCAGTAGGCTGACAAAACAGTTTTGGAAAGGCAGCAAGCACAGATTAAAAAACCCACAGGGCTGTGCTGGACACACTGGACACACTGACAGCAGAACAACTTCGATACAAATCATAAGAAAACTAGAATGCCATTCGGAGAACGCAGACCATTCATGTGCTCCTTGATCCCATTTCCTGAGTTGGGAAGGAGGGGTGTTGGCATGAATTTTCTCAGTCCGGAACTAATTTTTCCAAATATTCTGACATTACATGAATGCAGCATGCCCTATGTCACAATGTTAATGAAAGTGAAATATAATGCGAGTACAATATATTTAGCTACAAACCGAGCCAAAAACATAACCTTCTTGGTAATTAGATAACTGTTGTTGTTGACAATGACCGTGTGATGAGTTGTTGTTTGTGGGTTTTGGCAGGCAGCTGTCCCCTCTTCTGGACATGAATGCCGACATTAGAGGGTGAGCTCTTATCCCCATTTTTTATGATCCATCGTGTCCTGCTTGCTCATCATTTGAGTACGGCCATTTGGAATTTTAGACCGTCACAAAATATTGAATTAAAAATTTAAATAATAATAAATAAATAAATAAATAAATAAATATATATATATATATATATATATATATATATATATATATATATGGAGTTAGGGTATTTTACAGTTCAAAAATACAGTTCAAAAATAAAATATCAGAATAATCTACAAAATAGAAGACAATAAGATAAAGTAAATTGAATTGAGTTTTTAACTGGTAATTAAATAGGGCTACAGATGAATAAAAACACAAAGAAAACAATATGTTTGTTTTAAACTTTAAAATTTAAATAAATAAAATGCAATCTTGTAAACATGTATGCAATGACATTAGATTTAGTATATTCTGCTAAATGTATGCTTAAACAGATTTTGTTACAAAACCAAGACGGTATCTGACCCCTTCTCTTGATACAACTGGCCCCAACAGGTGCACGATTGCAATTGCACAATGTTGACCCAAATGAAACCCCTATATCAAGGAGCTCCCTTCTGACTAACGCGCGCGCGCGTGTGTGTGTGTGTGTGTGTGTGTGTGTGTGTGTGTGTGTGTAGCGTTGTGGTATAAGCGGAGCGTCCACTTACTTACCCGTGCAACAGTATCAGTTTCCAGGCGAGTAGAAAGCCCGTGACAGAGAGCCTTTTCCTCCTCATCTCTCTCCAGTGGGGCTCCGGAACCTCTGCTCTCCTCGCAGCTCTTCAACCTCTCAGCACCGCAACGGAGGTCAACTCACAAACATGCCGTAGTAACAGGAACTCCAAAAAACTCAAGCGCGGTCGGTTAATTCCCATAAGTAGAACGAGAAACAGCAAGACAGCTACGGAATGAATCAGTTAAATGCAAATTTGAAAAAAGGAAGAGCGCACGACAGCTGTTCAGACTCTAGCTCTGAGCTTGGTCCGTGCCCTCGCGAAGCATGGGGATGGAGAGACGACCCGCCCGCTACTCTGGATTGGCAAGACCGGCAGATTGCTCAGCCAATCATCTGCAGGGTTGTTAATTTTTCCGGTTGAATCGCATCTGAAATTAGAAGCCCAGCGAGGTGGATATAATTCAACATCCACCCATGCATTATTACGCATCTCTCTCTCTCTCTCTCTCTCTCTCTCTCTCTCTCTCTCTCAGTGTGTGTCCCTGTAGCTCACCATTCTGTCAACCTTTCACATTTTCTTTTCCTTCTTCTTCTCTGTTTATTTCTCCATCTGCCTCATGCTCTCTATCTGTTATTCTGCTCTGTTAGGCAGGATCGCAAAGTATGTTTGTGATTCCTGGCTGTAAAGTAGCCTATGTTGATGACAGTTTGCCATATGTGGCCAAAGTAGTAGTAGAGGGGCTGATTCAAGTTCACATTTATGTCGAGAGCACCCTGAGGCAAGAATGGATGAACAGTGGTCAGGATTTCAGATATACAGAGAAAAACTGAACTAGGGGGATTTGGGGCATGTCCATTGAACTTTTATATTTGATATGTGCATGTGGAGATAAAAATTCGATAACAATATTTTTTAAAACCATGTCAGCAGGTATAAATGATCTGTCAGTGTTGCACTGAACAACCCACACTACAATCTGAAAATGCAGAAGATGCTGACAGGGTAACATTCAAGTGTTCAAGTAAAAGCAAATTCACACTGTTCTGTCTCGCCCTCTGTATTCACTGCCCATCCCTTTCTCTGTGACTCCTCAACTGTCTCTTTTGCCAAAGTATATTCCAAATAATTTACAAAACACCTTCTTTAATTCATATTTTATGTTTGCGTTTCAAACAGCACATAAACATAAGCAAAATGTGTGTTTTTACAAAATGATAGGTTATTACACTAAATTGATGCCAGGTGTTTGTGTTGTTAAATTGAGCCTTTAGGTTCCACTGTACACCTAAAGAACAAATATATATTTCTGTGGTAATAACGGTGTGAGTTGGATCAGGTCAGTTTATATATTTTGAACAGCACGGGGACATGATGCTAATCCTATATCGGGCACAATGTTCAGTACCTGTGCTTCCTCTCTCATCTCCATCACTGTTTCTTTTTCTCCCAGTCTCCTCATCTACAAGCTGTATGGGCTGAAAGTGAAACTAATTACTGGGCATCACTGGCCGCTGTTTAATATATATGGATATCTGGTGATGAATGACATTGAACTACAAGCAGTACAGTCGTAACACTATATAGTGTTGTGTTACATTGTGGCTCCTTTCCACCATCAACATTCATATTTTAACAGTGTGATATACGTTGTGATTTTAACCCTATATGGGAAAAGAATGTATTAAAAAAGAGCTACAATTTCTACATGGTTTATCAGACGTGGATGCAAACACCCTCAAGTTAAAGCTGAGAGGCTGCTCTTTACCTTCTTAGTCATTGTTACATTTCAGATACAAAGAACTGGATTACAGCACTCCTGTCTGAGTACTTACAGTGCTGTATTAAGTATGCTCAACAATATCTTTTGATATATCTATATACATTGGGTATATTCATGCTCATTGATCTATTCTCAGCAATTTCATTTTGCACGCCCTCATTTTGCAATGGGCTTACACCCCGTCCAAATAATCCACACAAGCCTGCTGTAATTCATCAGTTGTATGAATTGACAATTTTAGACAATTCCTATTTGTGATTTGTACAACATTGTTGCTTTCAGTGTTTAAGGTTTTTTGCTACATTGGCAGAACTTACCTTTGAGAGATTTGAGTCATTAATAATGTAAATGTAAGGCGGCAACCTTCAGTTCTAAAAGGTGAAGCCAACTTGCCTCCTTTTTAATAGCCAGCAGGGGGCGACTCATGTGGTTGCAAAGAGAAGTTTGGTTGTATAGTCTATGTGAAAATGACCCGTTTTCCTCTCCTGGGAAAAAATACGGTGTTTTTGGAGCAACCCATTCAAGTCAACCTCCTCCCTACTTGGTGTTTGTCACTCTTTATATTTCCTGCTTCACGATTGTGTAGAATACATACAAATTGATTTCATGAGGCTGATACAAATTAGTGCATCATTTTTTGTAGGTGTAGCAACAAACAAGCGGCAACCTCCGGTGCTAAAAAAATTAGGCTGGAAATTCCAAAAACTGTAGTTCCTCAAATAGAAATGCTCCAAAAGAGAAAAGACAATCCCAAGGACCCCCATGTTAAAAAATAAAATAAGATCATCCTTTATTAGTCCAACAGCACAAAATTGTTTTGGTCTATGTAGCTAATATTCCTATTCATGACACCTGTGTTGGGTTCAATTTTTTATATAACTCACCTGGTTAAATTATATTGAGGCTGAAAGTTCAAATGAAGGGTGTGGCTGCATTGAGTGACAGGTGGGTGTCTGCTCAGGTCAGGTCGCGGACCACAACCTGTCTGCTCTGCTGCCTTAGTTCCATCAACGATCCACCTCTTTGCCCACTTTTGGATTAGCCGGGAGTTAGGCTGTGGCGATGGTCTGAGCCACCCTCTTTGAGCTTCACACAGGCTCTTTAGAAAACCGAGGGTGACGTCACGGAGACTATGTCCATATTCTATACTGTCTATGAGAACAGCCCGAGATGTGACCATGACCATGTCAGGTTATTCACGCGGCTGATTCCCAGGAGCCTAAAACTGTTCTTTTGCTCCACATCAGCTCCATTGATGTAGGCAGGGATGTGTGTCTTCACCTTGTTTTTTCTTGAATCAATGATCAGCGCATTGTTTTTTGCTGATGTTGAGCAGTGGGTCGTTCTCTGAGCCCCACTTTGTAAGATTGATGATTTCCTCTCGATATGAAGTCTCATCATTCTTTTATAATCCCACCGATGAGGGTCACACTTCACAACAGAGTTCTCTCCATGTTGCAGTCATGGGTGTACAGCATGAATAGAAGGGGAGACATAAAAAGTTCTACATACACAGAGAGAAGGAGGCACGGGAGGAGTGTGAGGCTGCAGGCACCAGCGTGACACTCAACATTAGATATGCCTGTACTCTGCACAACTGTCGTTCACGCCTCCATCCCTCACAATCCTCTCACTAATGTGCTATATAAATTATCCATTAGTGTCACGGGATTTCACGGATAGGACCCAAACGCAAGACCACAGGAGACAGAGTCCGATGTAACGGATTTTATTTTGAAGATGTGTGAAGGTGTGGAGCCTGTGGTCCGACACCGGAGGGCAGGCGGATTGATGGTGTGAGTCCCGTGGCTCGACACCGGAGGGCTGGTAGCTCGACGGTGTGATGTCCCGTGGCTCGACACCGGAGAGTACGCAGATCGACCAGTACTCTACACCCATAGCAGAGAGGAGAGAGATTAGTTCAGGAAGGAACAACGGGGTTCAACTTACGGAACGGCGGGGGAGGCTACCGAGGCAGAAGACAACACGGACTGACAACCCAGGCCTGCAAGACCAGGGTTGATAGCTGCTGGGTAACGAGCCAGATTGTCCGCAGCTGTGCATCCATCAGGGCGGTGGCAATGGGAGGTGTCTGGAGGCAGGCCCGAGAAAACAACACCAAGCACATGGCACAACAAAACAAACAGGGGAAAGACAGACACATGAGGAGAGGAGATTGGGGGGAAACAGAGGTTAACACACAATGGGTCAGACAGGGATCCTGACAATTAGGTTCTGCATTGGTGATGTTTGAGAGCCTCTGTGAATGGATTCAGCTGAGTGCAGAAAGGGCTCAGTGTCAGCAGAAGGGTGTTGTGTTATTTCTTGGAGCAGATTTAATAATGACTTGATACCTAAATATGTAATGATAATTAATAACTTAAAATGATTAACCATAAACCAATGGCATTAGTGTAAAAGGTGAAGGGAAGTAATATAACTCTGCTGCAGCTATCAGACACAATTACTTCAAGCAGCATAATTATGGAATTGGATTCAATTTAGCATGCCACTAAATTTGGGAAAAAAGGGCAAACCTCGTGACATTAATCAATTAAGTGTCATAATCTCAGGGAACTATAAAATGGTGCTCTTGTACCCTGGGGACTCTTTTAGGATGAACACCCTGGAGAGGAGACACAGCAGAGGTAAGTGCTTTGAACATGCATGTTATTTGACAGCACTATTAATATATTCAATCATTTTAGTTGAAGATAACCAAACCACAAATATGTTTGTGTCTACAGGCCCGACCTTCAATAATTACTCCTGAGACCATATCAGAACCGTACAATAAACATTCAACTCTCAGTGTGTGAGTCTCTTATTGTCCTTTGTCTTATTGTCTTATTGGCATTTGTGGTTTGTGAACAATCCACAAATGCCTGCAATGGAGAGGGTCCTTGTCACAAAGGGTCAAGCCAAAAAGCCATATGAAATATTTATTTCCATCACCTATGACACCTGTGCAAAGTTCCAAGGCTTGTTGAGCAACCTAAGCCACAGAAAAATAAGCTTCATTTTTCACGGTGGATGATGCATTGCCACGGCAACAGCGTTTAACGACAACTCACAATATTCATGATGAAGCATTATCAATGTCTTACGGCTTACCTTACCAAATTTGAGACTGATCTGGGCAACTTCCTAGTTGGAGTACATCAAAGTATAAAACTTGTCATTTCCTTTTGCCAGTAGGTGGCGCTATGACTTTGTGAAAATGTTGGCATGGAAATGTGCTCAAGCCTGGACCAGCATCATGCATAACAGGTTTGGGGGCAGATTGAATAAAGTACCTTGGCGTTACAACAACTTCCTCTTTCATGGTGAACGGCACGAAATGTGTGCGACATGGGCGCCACATAAAACGAAGGTCGTTCAATGTCAGTAGACCATTTTAGCAACTTTTCATCATTAATGTCTTTAGATCATCTTGACCAAATTTCAAGTTGATCGCTTATATTTTGTGGGAGGAGTTCGTTAAAGTACACCAGAAAATGATGAAAAATGCAAAGAAATTAAAAAAATTGGCGGATTCCTGTATCGCTCCCTAGTGGTTGTATGCAATACAAATTTGAGGATATGTTACAGGACACAATGTGAACATATGCTTCAGATTTCGTGATGATGAGCCACATGGTTTTGAAGTTATACTATATATTGCTGTAGAAGGCCACGCCCCTATGAAATTCATTGGTCCATATATTCTTAATGCAATAACAAACAAGCTTTTCATAGCTTTTGATGATATATATCCAATAATGATGTACTTATTTGTACATCACTTTGTTTTACTCACTTCCTCACCATGTAAACTGTGTACAGCCCCACTCGCTTTCTGTTGTGTATTTTACATGTAAAATGGCCTAAAAACTAAATTGTATAATGTACAGTACAATTATTTTAAAGTGTGTTAAAAGTTGAATTTTGAAAATAAGTGAAAGCATGACTTTTGTATACTTTTTATATATTTGCAGAAAGTACAATTCTTTGATGGTATATTTGCAGTGAAAATGTCAGTATATTTTAAATACAAAAAAGTATATATTTCTTTCGCCTGGGTAGAAAGGCGCCATACAAGTACAAGTCCATTTACCAGTTTATCATTGACAGCAGGGCCAATGACAAGTTGGACTTTGCACTTTGGTAAATGATTGTATTGTAAGGCGTTTGTATTTTATGTTCTGTGAACTACAAGTCCTTATTATCATGAAAGCAAGGGTGTGAAGTGTTTGTTCATTATGATTATTAGTCCATAGCACCCTACAGAACTTCTATTATTAACACTAAAAGCTCTAATTCTAAGAGTTGATTGATGTTTGTAAATAAAAACATGTATATGTAGATATAGTAAATTCAAAAGTTGAAATATCCTTTAACTCTGTTCTCCTCACTTTTGGAATCATGGCTACACCTCTACACGTTCAGCCTTTATGTACCAGGTGAGGATCAAATTTCAAGAATGTCTCACAGTGGGCCCGCCCCAACTCTAGTGTTCACAGATAAAAAAAAGAAAGAAAAGAAAACCTCATACGTCTTTCTGAATCCAGAGGTCAGAACTGAAGCAGATTTGCTTTCCAAATGGACTCTCAGACCACATCAGGGAAGGTTTACCTCCAACCACACAAAGCTGGAAAAGTGAGTACACAACTTGAACATGGACTTTGCTGTTTCTCAGTAGCAGTGATCATTTATGAGCCTGATAGGGTATAGGATTGAATAGACAGCCTTGTTTTCTAGCAGCTTTAGATAATAATAGATAATAATTGCTTTGTTATGATTACAGAAATAAAAATGTGATATTAACCTAATATGAACATTGCCAGACAACTGACTTTACGCTACAGTGAATAAGTAAATAGAAACATACATAGCACAAAATTATAATATATGATCTTGTCCCGGGTTCATTCACATTCCACATTTAGCTGAGAGAACAAAGTGTGAGTTCTCAGCCTTTCTGTGTGTTGCTCAAACGAGACTCCAGAGCAGGAATCCAAATTAACAAGTTGAAACACAGCACAGTTTCAACACTACACATTCCTGTGCAGCACTGACAGCTGCATGCTCACGCTTTTCAGTATCACTGCAGAGCCCATTTGATTGAATTTCTAGATTATAGTCTTAAACTCTAACCTGAAACTGGTATAGAAATACAAAGTGTCCATTATGAATCACTGTTAACCTGCTGTATATGTTCAGAGTTTAATGCATTATATGAAACATGAGGTGCTTTGAGTAATGATATATAATATGCAGTCCTGTAACATTTGTTCCTTAACAGCCCTGTAAACTCCACAAACAAGCCACGCACTCCCTCTTTTGTTTTGAAGGAAGGACTGGGTCAGAGCCTCTGACTCAGAGGTAACGTGGTGGTTTGCCCTCACAATCTGACACTCCTCTGGACTTCCATATATGGAAAGCACAGAGAGGAAAGGACTAATGTTTACCTTCTGTGTCATATGAGGGAGGGGTAAAACTGACAAGCCCATTCACAGGAAAAAGGTTTAGGTTGGGGTTGGTGCATATGCGTAGGAGAAAAAAATGGATTCATGTAGAGGAGTAGAAAAGTATGTAATCCATCATTTGAACTACTGTATGTGACATAGATTTATTTACATGCTAGTGACACGGTTACGCTCGATTGCAGCCAGTGTTATGCTGACCTGTCATAACGAAGCTTGCAATATTTTAACCCTATTTCTATAAGCACAGGTGGAGCCCTCTACTGGACTCTATGGGTCCTCCAATCACAAGCACGCATTTGCTCACTGAAAATTTGCATAAGTGTAACCAGCCAATCAGGACGTGCCTAACCAAATACACCCTCTTCAGCCAGCGGTGTAGGAGCCGCAGGGCCCACTTGGTGGAGGGCACCTCCTGTGCTTATAGAACTAGGCTAACAATATTGTAATTTTCATTCCAACTCACACAGGCGTAGCACTCTACTGGACTCGATGGGCACAATGGGTACTGCAACATCCACCCATTAACACTGAACCTGACCGACCAAAGGTTACTCGCCGCAGCCCACCTACTTCTTTATAACCTAGGGCACCACAGCAGAGACGTAGGGACACCCAGCCAACCCAGATTGTACGTCCTGGAGCATGTAGGTGTATCATGTCCTGAAGGGGGGACTCAGATGCAACACAATGGACACACACCCCATCCTCTAAACCAATCCTGGGTCGTTCTCTTACTGAGGTCAGTGCAAGCAGCTGCGCTCCAGAGGCTCAAAGGGACCCTTCGCTAGGGAGGACCATAGCAGTCAGTGGGTATTGCGTCAGTTGGCAAACAGATCTACTTCTGCTTTTCCAGACACGATAATTTGGAGAGCCTTCAGAAAGAACAGGTGCTCTGAGGCCCACAACCAAGGGCTCTCCACCATCCTAAACAGGGTAGCAGACCGACCTCCTTCATGCCAGTTGATGAAGGCCACCATCTTGCAATTGTCCGTCATCACCAACACGTGCCTACCCTGTATCAGGGGCCTGAAGTGTTCGAGGACCAAGAACACTGTAGCTCGAGGGGGTTGATGTGTCTTTCCTCCATTGGGGCCACACATGTAACAGGTACTGGATCTCTGCTGAGATGGGATGTCTCCGTGCGTCCCTACACATTGAGAAAATCCACCAGACCTCGGCCAGGCTGTAAAAACTATGGCTGAGGCGGCATCTACTTGGGTGTAAGCAAGGGGGGGCTGCGATGCCCTGCCACAGTGGTCGTCACAAACATGAAGATATTGTAATTTACGTAATTTGCATGCGAAGCCGGTGTCTCAACAGGGATGACCAGATGCAGTGCTGGAACACTGCAGGCTACAGCGCGGACACGATCTCAAGCTCCGGCCTGCACTCATTGCAGCAAAGCATCACATATCTGTGCAGTCCATACCAAGGCACTCGAACCACGCGTCATAAAGATCTGTCCCGGTGATAAGGCCGGGACATAACAGGCACTGATAAGGTTCTTAAAGCTGCGACTCCATCCTTGGAGGTAGGCAGTCAGTGGGAAAAAAAAGAGGATGTCAAGCAGCGATGTGTGCTGCGTCCTATCCTGTGGGGTCTGCACATATTCCAGTAGGCACGGTCTGATTGGCTGGTTACACTTGTGCAAATTTTCAGAGGGTGAATGTGTGCTCTCGCTTGGAGGAGAGTATTGCACACGGAGTCCAGCAGAGAGTGGAGTGAGTAAGAATGAACATTACCTTTCTCTGTCATTAACCATCTCTCGGTCTCTCTTCTCAGAAATGGAAGCCAGTGTGGTTGTCTCTGTTTCCCCCCAGTAGTGGTGGAGTGGCTCGACTGGAAATCCAGTATATGGGAGGTAGTTACCTTTTCTACTTCAATCACTATTTGTCCCAGTACGGTGAAAGAAAGTTCCAGGACATCAGAAGAATATTTTTTTTAGATAACTGAGATCTAATGATAATGCTAAACACACCACACACAAGCAGTCAAACGATCAGAATGGGGCATAAAGGGGGACACCACTGATTTTACACATCATCATGGGTGGTAATATTCAGCCTGTGAAAACTGTGGCATAATATCTTCTGTTCTAGAGAGCTTTCTAAAAGTGTACAAAATATTAATAAATAACTCTGACGATGATTTTTAGGGAAAGCCTGTGTCACAAACTGAGACATAGCATTTCAAAGATTTGGGCTTTCGGCAGAAGAAGTCTAATAAAGTATCCTATTGAGCTGCATTGTGGGAAATGAAGGATGAGGAATTTTTGGAGCTGGACACATACTCGATACTAAATTCTGGATATCTCAGTGTGTACTGCATCAATGTTTTGACCATTTTTAGTTATGTGTGTCTTGCAAGTCTCCCAAATGTATGAAGGTGCAATGCTAAATTGGCTGGAGAACCCCTTCAAACAAGCCAGCAGTGTAGCCAGATTACCTAAACTACTTGGGATACTAGTTTGAAGGTAAAACTGAAAACTAGCACATCTGAAAAATAATAATTGTAATGATCCCTCATTGCATGGGAAGAATTCTCAGTGTAGTAGATCAAAGTTAAGGCAGCAAGTTGGTCTGTATACCGTGATAGATGTTGAAAACCAACAGTTTGATAATTTTACTGTTTGCCTTTGTGTTTCTTTTCTAAAACATGTATGCCCGCATGTTTTTTGACATAAAAATGCTTCCATATACACCGTATGGGCCGGTATATGAGCCCCATCAGCTTAAACATTGCTAAACTACATTTAAACATTAACTTACATTATTAAAAACAAGTCAACAACTCAAGATACAGCCCACAAATGCTGTTCATCTTATGAGTAAGGATAGTTTTTGTTATTTTAAAGCAACAACTTGTTCAATGACCTACAAATATTATTTTCTTGGTGTAAATAACCAGCCAAAAAAAAACTACTCATACTACTTAAAAGGTATAATATTTTACTGTTTGTAAACACACGGCATTCAAAATTGGATACTCCTCCTTGGCTCGAGGAGAAAGCAAGGGAGAGAGAAAGCAGTGATTGTCCAGCGAGTTACAAAGTGAAAGGAGAGAAGGAGTTGCGTTCGTGAGAACAAAGCAGTGTATCAGAGAAAAAAAAACATTATTCTTTGATTGTTTTACGGTGGTTACGTCTTAAAGCACAAATTAACACAACCACACTTCTGAACAAGCCTTTGGGGAAGATGCCGCATTGCCGGATTTTGGATGAATGCTGTTAAAGGGCATGCTTCTACCTGACGGCTGTGCTTGTATGCCAGGGTAAATGGACACACAGCCACTCTGCACACGGTAGATGAGAGAGAAGAAAAAGGGAAAAACAGAACGACGTAGCAATATATTCTCACCTGTCAAATACGGCCGCTTTGTATCTGACGGAGCTAAAGTGGGCCTTGTGCCCATGGATGTAATGCTTGTGCCTCAGTATCAGATGCCGAGGGGTGTGATAAAGTGTCAGTATCTGATGATCTGAACGGATTGCATACACTGTGACCTGCTATCGGCTGGGGCTACACTCCCCATGGGGCCAAAAGGCTCTTTGCTGAAGCCCAGAAAGTTCCTGAACACAGCCAAATAAGAAGAAAGGTGTAAATACAGGAAGAAGGCCGGGTGTCTTAAGATACTGACACCACCACACCTTTCTAGTGGGTCATAAGTGATGACTTTGAGGGATTCTTTTTGCATGCGTGTATGGATAGTTTTTTTTGAAAATTCCTGCATATTACACCAATGCGGCTATTAGGCTGGCAGAAGGTACATCCCAAGTCTCTTAAGTGCATCCATGTTTCCCTCACTTACCTAGTCCCTTCCCCACACGGATGCATGGAGAGACGCAAGGAAACCATGCAATGAGAGAGGAAACGAGGAAATGTGTTTTTAGAGAAATGAGACGTCATTTCCTCTGAAGCGTCACGTGAAGCGACGTCTGTTTCTGATGACAGTGGCGGCGGATCACAGCTGGATCAGCTGTCAGTTGGCTTTAACAGCTGAAGAGACTTTTTATGGAGATTGTGTCGACGCACATGTGCACTGTACTAATACTAGAGAGCTGCTGGAGCCGATCTCAGCTGGCACTGGGCGAAGGCAGGGTACACCATTATCGCAGGGCTGACACATAGAGACAGACAACTATTCACGCACCACTATTTGCCTACGGGCAGTTTAAAAAAAGAAGAAAATAGTTTGTGGTCCTTTTGTTGTTCAGACCTACGATTAACCTATATATTTTAACCAAATGGTGAATCGGAAAACAAAGCAAATATAAAACTTGAGAGTGATACACCTGAGTTTAATCTGTGATCTGAAACTTCAGTGATGTTGAGATACATCAGATCAGTCCGATCAGCTGCAGCGTCCAATCAAATAACTGATAAACAATGAGGGGGCCGTGACGGCCGTTAAACGACTTCCATGAAGGCTTCTCTTGTGTATCCTTGCTCATGGCTCCTTAGAGATCCCTCCTCGCTCCTCGACCTTCGCTCCTCTGAGTAGAAATGAGAACTTTGGGACGCCGTCAAGATGGCGGAGCAGAACAAATTCGGGCTGAAGCGAGGAGCGAGGAAATGACCAGGGACTTGAGATGTACCCAATCTTTGTGCAGTCTTAGAGGATATTTTCTATGCTCAAAATCAAATCCTCACAATGCAAATTGTGTGTGACTGTTGTAGGTAAGTTTGATGAATGTTATGAAACAAATACCGTCCAGGTGAATACATTATTAATTCTGAATTTATTTTTATTTTTGTTAATCAATGTCCTCATTCTGTGGGGCTTTATTTCAGGTTATGTGTTTCCTCAATGAATAATCTTAATATAACATTGCTGTTCTTCCATTATGGTGGCGGTGCTGTAGGTGATCATGTGGCTGGGGTCAGGAGACACTACCAGCCTCATGTGGACAAGAAGCTGAAGGTGGTTCGACTGTCTGAGCTGATCAGTGTCCTCAGACTCCCCCCAAACGCGGAGGCCTGTCCCATGGTCAGCCTTTCTGGTTGTTTTTCATGTTTCATCTATAAGTGATAGTTAAATAAATACTACAAGCTACTATCTGTGCTGTTTGCAGGAGAACATGTCAGCGTTTTGTGTGGAGACTCAGGACAGAACGATGGTGTTTGCTGCACTCAAAGAGGACAGTGTTGATTGGGTGGAAAAACTGTGTCGCAGCACGTTTCAGGTGAGGGGGAAACCGAAATAACATCAATTGTGTTAATTGTTAGTACCTTGATAATTGTTAGTCCAGGCCATAAGTATGCAGCAAATGTTGTAGCTAGTATATAATTCAGTCTGTATACAATGCCTGGTCTTCAGTAATCTCTTTTTTTTTGCATTTTTGCCTTCATTTGTCAGTTTTAGACACAGGGGAAGAGAGAGGGGTATGACATGCTACAAAGGTTCCAAGGCTGAAATGAACCCGAAACACATGCACGTGCTGTAACCACTCTGCTACGAAGCTGCTCTAGACTTTCTTTTCTAAAGGATTTTACAACTGTGTGCTTCCCTTCCCTCTCCTTCCCCTCTCTCTCTCTCTCTCTCTCTCTCTCTCTCTCTCTCTCTCTCTCTCAGAGAAGCTTTGGCTCAGACTCCAATCAGCTTCAAATGGAGGACAACGAGATATATGCCTCAGCAGATGAAGGTAAATAATCTGTTCCTACGCTTTTGTCTGTTTTTTTAATATTTCTGCTCCCATCCTTTCACCAGCTGTCAGCTACAGTCATTTAGCAGATGCTTTTATCCAAAGGGACTTACAATAAGTGTATTCAACATAGGTATTCAAGAGAACTACTAGTCACCAGAAGTCATAAGTGCATCTCCTTTTTTAAACAAGCATCTAAGAGCATAAACCAGAGCAAAAGCACAGTGCAGAAACAAACTAAGACGAATACAATAAGTGCTAAGTGGAAGGCTCAGGGTACCTTCTGTTATTGTGACACTTGTCTTTTTATCCTTTGAACTCTTGTTGTCCGGTTCTGAAGAGATTTGATTGTTTTATGTGTTGTATAAAACAGAAAAGTAACCAGGCTGAACAACAAACAGCAAATACAGCAATCTGCTGTACATGGTAGAAAGTCTTGTTCTGGATCAATTTCTGTAACTCCTAAACGTTATACCTTTGAGCATGTTCTTACTTAGAGTGCCATAACGTGGGACCGTACCTTAAAGGTACCATATGTTGTACCCTGTGATATGTTTGTGTTCTCACCAAATGCATTGTGTGTATCCTAGCGCTGCCCCCTCATAGTTGACTAATAGGTCGCTCCCTTAGTAGACTAAGATTTCTTTAGTCAATTAGTCATTTTTTTAATGCTTTTTCATTCTGAATGATGTATTTCCAAGAAACGTATGAGCAAATCTCTGGTTAACAGAAGATTTAAAGTGGTGCTTTTTGTGTGATTCTTTGTGAAGAAACTCCGTTTTACAGGTCTGTCAATTAAATCAACTATTATATTATTCGACTCAGAATTTATTTTGGCGAGGACTGCCCTAGTTCATCCTTGAGGCCTAATAAATGTGTTGTATGTATTTACATCCTCGTAAAATATTTGCAGTCTTCTTCTTCCCTGCCTTTGATGGCGCAATGCTACCAACAAGAGGAATGGCATTAAGCCGGCAGTTTATCTTCTTAAAATAGAAACTAGACCCATTCATTAAAAAATAGCTCAATGGCACAGCTAGTGACCAGAAAGTCCACAGGGCGTTTCTTATAAATTGATGTTGTCACTCTATTTAATAGTATGTTGACTTTACGGAATCAAACAGTGATTGGCTTCATCAAACTACAAGTTGTTGTAATGACGACAAATATTCTCTTCATCCTCAGAGTTCTGGGTGACGGTTCAGAGGACTGATGCAGCAACACGTTGCGGCCTGAAGGGGTCATACTGGCTGCAGGTGGGGCGAGAGGCGCTGCTGCTGAGAGAAACGCAGAAGAAGAACATTGTTAGCGAATGGTCATACGAACTGCTGAGAAGATATGGAAAAGATAAGGTAAGGTTTTCAATATCATTAACATTTCCCATTTACCTGCTCATAAGGTATCAATTAAAATGGAATTATACAATTTTCACACAGGTAGGAATTATGACTGGGCTGTTGATTTAGATTGCTTTTCATTCTTTGTTAGGATTGCATAAACATACTTGTGTGCCTTTTTGTTTTTTCTTACCAGCTGGCCATCACCATTGAAGCAGGTAGACGCTGTGACTCTGGTCCTGGAACATTTACCTTTGAGACACAGCAGGCTGAGAAAATATTCTCCCTGATTCAGAGTACCATCAATCGGAAGACTTCAACTGTTACTTTAGGCAACCAAAACCAAGAAGGTGAGAAAGTTCTCGTACCAAAAATACGGGCTCATTCCCCTCTCCCCAAAATACCAGATGTGACCAGTATGGCTGTCAATCAGGAGAACAAACTGAGGACACAGGGAAGTAAATCTGCTGCTTTACAAGAGAGTGCACATGCTCAAGAAGATTCGGTTGGTTCGTCAGAGAGTGTATCAGTGCAGCCAGCTCCTATCACCCTCATGCCTCTTCCACTGGTCCCCACACATGGCAACCACTCTGGAGGTCATCTTGGTGGCCAATCAGAAGCTGTATATGCTGACCCAGCTGATTGCATCCAATCTGTACCAAAAGCCCGACCGACCATGGCTCTGTATGTAGACCCTGCAAGTTTTCTCCCACTCAAACCCTCCAGCTCAAGAGAAACCATCCCTCCCCTTACTACCTGGGCTCCACCTCCCTGTGTCACCACCGATCACCCAGATCCAGTCTACTCGGAGGTGTATGACAAAATCAGTCAAGTCCAGAATACACAAACTGAAATTCAGAGCAAAGGAAAAATTGAGTGTTTTGCAGATGATGAACCCGTTTATACTGAGCCCAATGGCAAGAAGGATGAAGTTTCTCTTAAAACTGAAAGCAAACCAGACCCATTTGCCCATCTTTATGCCCAAGTTTGCAAAACAACACCAACATTTAGTCTTTCTTCATCCTCTAACACTACCCCATCCTGCTCTTCATCCTCTGCCTCGCTTACTGCCAGTATGAGCACAACAAAGGCCACAGACCTGTCTGTTGATGATGTAATCTACGAAAACCTGGGCATCATTTAATTTTGTTGACATATTTTGGCACAGTGACTGCTAGAGACATTGAGTTCATTGAGACACTCTGCCTACAGTAGTAAGGACTCCTCCCGCATGTGTATATCTGTATACAAACTAGTATTTATTATTTCTAAAGGGACAAATAGGGCTGTGTGACTGGCTATTCAAAAATAAGCTAGTTGCACCAAACACATTATAGTGGGCTCCCTAAACTAACCTTTCCTAGAGAGTCGCATTTTTAAGCACTGCACTCCTACTGATACATAATAGTATTTTTGTCATGCCATAAAACTGACAATATATGAAACTGTTAAAGACTTGTTTGTTAGTTAGTTTATGATGTTGTTATGTTACGATGATGTTATGATTAAAATGTGTATAGTGCTCTATAACCAGTGAAGATGAAATTTGTATTTTTCACAGTGTTGTTCATAAAGTGTTGAGAGTTGTGCTTTCTAAGTCCTCCTTTCTTTCTGAGCGACATCATTTGTACCACGAACACATACTGCAACATATCCTCATACAACGGCTCTCATGATATCTTACAACAAGTGACTGAGTATGATTGAAACAAGGCTCTGTAAATGAAAAAATAACATTCCATTTGTCATAAGCAATGAAATTAACTGTTGATCAATTCAATACACTTTGGAGTTTCTGCTGCTCCAGCCTCACTTTGTCTGGCATGAGTCTGTAGCTTATCATGGCTAGTGTTAGCTAATGTTTGCAAACTGCAGTTATAAAAGTTTAAAAGACATAGACATAACTAAGTTTCTCACTAATTCCTCTACATTTGGTACTGTATTTACCATTATCCTGTCACTTGTGGCCAGAGTGGCTGCTATTTCATAAAGGTGACATCGTTTTTACAAGTTTTTAATAAAAAAACATCTAAATAGTTAAACCTGACTTGAAGCTACTTCAAGGAACTATATGTTTGTGTTGATTTCTGTGGTCCCAGGGGAAAAAAGGTGGAACTGTTTCCAACCACCAGATTCCCTTTAGAAAACCTCTCATACAGCAAGGTCTGACAGTCCTGATTCTTGTTCCCTCATGCCTCACTTCCCTTCAGCGTGCCCAGCAGTACGGCCTGGGCATCCAGCAGCGCGATGATGTCGTTGACTCCCAGCGAGGACTGGCGAAGCAGTGAAGGGCCGCTGGTGTCTGAGCTGAAGGAGAATAGGCGATCTTTTCTCTGATGGTCTCCTTTACTCATGCAGGTCATATAGAGGCATCAGTATTACATTAACAGGACAATATAACCTCTGATCAGAAGCTCTGTATCAGCACCAATTAAAGTAGCTTGTTCTTTTGAAACTGTTGCAGCATGTGAGAGTAATTATGATTCGTTCCAACTTAGTCCTTAAATACAAATATCTCATGAACACCGTGAGGGAATTTCCTCAAATTTGGCACAAACGTCCACCTATGGAGCTTTGAAACTGTGATTAGGTGCCATTACAACAATGGATACATGCAATAGGATGCACTTACCTCGTTAATTAATTGTTGGCACAGATATGTACAAAAATGGAGGAGTGAATCAGATAAAGCTTGCTAGTAAGCATTCAGAGTGAGGTACAAAAAGTCGGGAATCTATGGTGATACAGAAGAAAATCTATTCCCAACGTCCAAATGTCCAGCCTGACATAACATGTAGATCTGAAACATGCGATGATCAGTTTCAGGTCACAGACTGACATCATCAGCGTTCAGATCCGTGTTTCAGTTCATGTTGGACAAGGCCTGAATATGTTCAGGAACAGAGGATCGGGGTTTCTCGTCCTGTGATACAGTGCTCAAGGTTTTATAGCTGCAAAGACAAAACAGATCAAATCTTTTTTACAGAGGGTCAGAAATCACAATTTGTGGAATTGAAATTCATGCTTTCTGAATCCTGTCACAAATACATGCCGTCAGGATGATGGTTGGTAAAAGTTGATCCTTGTTCAGCCACGTTCAGTGGGTAGACAAAAAGGATGCAGGATTTGTTTGTGTCAGTACACATATTTCTCTTACAAGGAGACGTGGGTTAGAGAGTAAATGAGGAGACTTAAACAATTGGAGAGAGAGCAGCTCATATCGGCTCACTGATTACAACAGCTTCTTATGGCAGTATAAACAGTACATTTCAGATTTGTCTTCATTTAGGTACCGCCTGGCATAGAAGAAGTACATATTCTCTCATCTATTTTGGGCCAGATCCCATGTGGAGATCCGATGAAAGAGGAATCTGTTATCTGCCGGTTTTTCAGTCACTGCTGCCTACGACCAGGCTTCATTCTTCTTCACCTTCAAATGTGATTGTGCAGATATAAATAGGCTTCTTAAGTGACCTGAAATATTATTTGGCCTTAGCATCCATTACAGATGGTGATTTGGCTGTGTGACCATTTAAGACTTGCAACCATTGATTCATGCACATGTATGCCAGAAATTTACAGTGTGGATTTCTCGTTTACATCTTGATTTCGTCAAACTGCTACAATATATTGCTCTGGTGGTAAACAACTGAGCAAGCAAGCTAGCTTAGCAACATCATTAGTAACAAGAACCGCAATGCTGCCCGCTAAAGAAAGTGGAAAACAAAACAAAAACAGCAGAACAGCGCCAGTGGAAAAATAATGTTTTTTGTATTGTTTTAATCATTGAAATTATGACCATTGAATGCATAACCATGCCACAAACAACAACTAGATTCATTGTCTTTTTTTATATATATATATATACCTAGAATAACATTACTGTATATTCATTATTATGAATTCATTTGTTTTCATCATTGTTATGTCTTCAGTTAATAACCAATGCAAGACTATACACAGGTCCCACAATGGGGATCTCAATGCACTTACACACCAAGAATAAGAGAGAGGCAGAGAGAGAGAGAGAGAGAGAGGCAGAGAGAGAGAGAGAGAGAGGCAGAGAGAGAGGCTGAGAGAGAGAGAGGCAGAGAGAGAGAGAGAGGCAGAGAGAGAGGCTGAGAGAGAGAGAGAAAGAAAGAGAGAGAGAGCTCAAAATGTTCAATAAGTGCACAAAAAACTTTTTTCATTTATCTGAAGTTAAAAACACTGACAAAATATCCATTGTCAGGCAATGAAATGATAGAATACTGTTACTGTAAAACTAGACCCTTAAAAATACTGACTGTATGCAGCCAAGACACACCTGAACAAGAGACGAGTCTGGTGGAGTCTCCCTTCCTTGACACTGATGGTAATTGTTTTTGTTTTGTTTGCTTTTTGTCAATTCCGGCTGCATTTACACAACACAAAGAACCGGGTTCGAACTGTGTTTTACCAAAATAAGGCTGGAAGAAATTACATTCCACAGGGTTTGGGAGAAAAGCCCAAGAGAAGCAAAACTAGTGCCTGTATGGACACTCAGCCACTAAATGTGTTATTGCATGTGTTGTTGACTGGCTATGTTTGGCATCTCTAAGTGTCCTCAGGTTCGGCTTCACTATTACCAACTTAAAGGCAGGATTAGAAGGATATGTCTATTGCGATTTGTAAACACAGCATTCTGATTTGCTTTTTGGGCCGAATGATAAAAAACAACCCACACGCATTTCTATCAGTCTGAGGTGCCATCTTGTGACCAATTTTGCCTCTTAAAAGACTCTACAGGCATTTTTACATTTTTTAAACCTCTTTTTCTACAAATAACATTGTGAGTATTGTTTTAAATATTGTAGCACATTATCCAATAAGTATTATTTTTAGATATTTTAATGTTCATGCTACCTTTAAATTAGCCAATATATCCACTACCTTATACGGATTTCTGGCACACATCTGTTTTTTATATAATAGTTTTCTCTTTCTACCTTTTTCGATAACCATTGTGTTGCAAATACTTTCATGTGTGTGTAAAGGCAGCTCTCTTAGGGAGTAGAGGCTCAATACATTGGGACTCAACGTCCTCCTCCAGACTCAACCAATAGGAAATCATTCTCCCGGCTGCTCACCTCAACTGTTTCACATATATGTATATCTTTTTACAGAGTTAATGTAGGTACAGTGCTTAATACTGACCACAAAAACAACAAAAAAACACATTTACTTTCTTTTGAAATAAATGATTTCACATTTAAAAAGTCTCAAAGATTAAAAGTTGATTGTAAAATAGTGAAATGTAATTGGTGAAAAGTAAATGACCGATGAATTTCGGCTCAGAGTAATGGCGGTGGTGGAGTGTGTGTGTGTGTGTGTGTGTCTGTGTGTGTGTGTGCTGGTAGTCTCGTCAAATCAAACCCTTCAATTACTAATGTCATCAACACTATAACCATCATCATCATCAGCACCGTAATCATTCTGAGGATAAAGTGAATTCCCTCTCAGTCATCTCTACTGGCAGATAGAGAATCATCCCTTCACAGCTAGAACCAGGACATCACAAATCACAATCTCATTCAGAATCATGGTGATATTTCAGTTGATCATTTTTAAAACCCCTAACTTTTAGATCAAATTGAAGCAGGTTAGTTAAAGTCTCATCCCAGCAGGTGTAGTTCTGCTGATATAAAACGAATAGTATGCAGCATCCAGTATGAAAGCACATGTGGAGATAAATGAGACAGCAAATGTAAACTGGGAACATTCCTAAAACCACAAACCTATCCAGTAAAGTCAACCATTCCTACGGGAAACCATGGGCTTATTAGCTGGGACTTCATTCACCTCGGTCTTCATTCCCATTACCACTACTCCAGTAGAATCAATCCCTGCAGCCACTAATGGTGAGTTGTATCTCTTTGTTCCTGGTTCCCTCAGCGCCTCCAGACCTTTTTCTTTTTATAAGTCAGTATTCCCAACTCTCAAGTTACAGCACTCCATCCTATCCATTTCAAACACTCACAAACTCTTCATAAGAGGGAAAGCGGGACATTGATCCTCCATCTTGAAAAACCTCCTGCTCAGAGCTCAACCGTTACAACCTTCAATGATGCCACTCCTACACGACTAAAACACCACCCAGAATTCCTTTTTAAAATTCAACTCATAAATAAATGGCTGTTTTGGTCACATTAGTAGGACGGTGCATTAGGGCCATTGAAGGTAATAAACATTAGAATGATTATGGAGCCTGGGGAGGGGGTGATATTCCGAGAAAGAACTAAGAATTTCTGAGATCAAATTAGTACATTTATGAGAAAAAAAATGTAATTGGATATTCTCTGAGAATAAAGTGGCGAATTAAAAGACACACACCTTTGTGTAGTCAAAGATAGAATGTGTTTGTCTCTACTTTCCTCTAACTTTTACAATATTAGCATTTATTCATGTTTATAAAAGACACAAAGAAGGAAAACATGTCTATAACATTTTTCTTTCCTCGTAAATTTGCCACTTTAAATCTCACAGAATATCCTTTTTTTCCTCATAAATTTACAGCTTTAATCTTGGATATTTTGACTATTTTGTCAGACTATTACCACCCTCCCCCTCTCCGTAATTATTATCATTTTTTTACCTAAAATGGCCCTGATATGCCGTCGTATATTAGGGCTTGTGAGAGAAAGATATAAAAAAGAAAACATAAATGAGAGAATTGAAACTCTCGAGAAGACGTTTGGTGTATACGCATGTGTATGTGTGTTTGTGCATATTTGTATGTGTGCAGAACCACTGAAACACAGAATCGTTACATAAAAATGTGAAAGTGATGTCGCCCTACACCTGCCCCATTTGAAGAAAAAACAAGGCTAATATTATACATAGATATTACTGGTAAAAAATGTGGCAACATTTTAAAAAGTGAGAAAAAAAACATTGTTTATCAGACCGATGAGAACATGCCACTTTTTAAAAGACTTAATGCTGATAAGGTGTGCTGTTTCTGAGGACAAATCGTCAGCTTATACAAACTGGGATGAAAGGGGGAAGAACACAAAGCCCTGTTTCATTAGGTGTTTTAAATGGCCTCTTTGAAATCCCCAATGGCATTGTAGGTGGTCTTACTCCGAAAGTTCAAGTGACCTTAAGGAGCCTCATATACCATATAGAGTACAAATAAATCAATATTTGGGGGATTTGGACAATGAGATCATTTATGACATCATCTTCATTTGAGGTTTTTTTTCCTCAATCAGCATATGGTTTCATTATTAATATTACAATGAACTTTTAAGTCTGCATTTAATTTCAAAAACCCAACCCCCTGCGCCACAAATGGCTACTTGTGGAACATATACCAGTCAGTATGCGGAACAAGGATATGTGGATCAACTAATCACCTGGGCTTTAAGGTGAACAGGGGCACATAGAGAAAGAGGATGGGTAGGGTTGCAGGGAAAATGAGTCAAAAGGAGGAGGGGAGGAAAGGAAAATGTATCAAAGCTACTCATTTGTACCTGGGAGGTACACATTTCCTTGGGGACCATATTTCTCTGCAATACCAGTCATCATAATGTGGCGAAACGACACGACACAGCATGACAACAACATACAACACTGCCTGCACAACACCGACCATTCAGTCACATCTACGGTATGTGTGTGTGTCGTGAGTGTCTGTGTGGATGAATTCTGTATGTCTCTACTGCACATTTTGATGCTGTTGGGGAGATACAGTGATATCACCCTTTTGAACGGCCCCCACATTACGGGGTGAGCTCATAGACACTTAACTCCACCTTGTGTCTGCTGTAGATTGTTGACTTTAGTGTGCCATGCTAACAACTCATAGCAGTTCTGCAGCAAGCTATGATGATCACCATGGTGACCGAGGTTGACACCAAGAAAAGACCAACCTTTTAGCATAATATTTGCATTTGTTTTTAAAAGAAAAAGACAAAGTTGGTCCAAACTAATTAGATGTTTAAGACCACAAACCAGTGAATTAAAATAAAACAAATCTTTGGGTTCTTCTGGTCATCATTGTTTCTTTCTGCAATATCTTGTATGTTTCTTGTGCTATATTATACACACACTGTACTTGTTTTGTTTGACAAATTCTTTTGTAGTTTTCCAGTTGATTGATCTGCCCATTCACACACTGCAAAGCTACTTTGGGGAATTGAAGATGAAGGCAAGCTTAGGGCCCAAAAAGGCAGAGGCCAGCGCTGGTAAACTTAGGCCTTTATGACTTCAGAGCGAAGGATCATGAACTCTTTAAAGTCAATGTTGCCAGGTTTCCTTTTTGGAACAATTTGAATTGTGCGATCACGTGATCATGGAGCTTCTGATCGGTGACTTTGAGCAGTATGCAATCTGCCATCACCAGCACCACTTCCTCTGATGAGGGTTTGTTCTGTGTTTGTTTTCACTTTTTAAGGTAATGGTAAAGACTTCACTCAAAAGTCAAAGTCAGGGTTAATATAAGTATGAGGCAAACCAACAGAGCAGATGCTAAAGTGTTAGCACAGATCACCTGAGCCAATGATCTACTGCATGGGTTTTGTGTGTTTTCATTATTTTTACGTCATCAAATTAATTCTGCCTAATAATGTCCTAATTTGTGTCTTTGAATGTATGTTTGTGTTGTCGTTCTTTCTTTGATGTATGTACTGTATGTTTCTGCTATCCTTAGGCTTTTGTTAGGCCTTGTGTGTTTCTGTGTGTATATCAGCTTGTGTGTGTGTGTGCGTGTGTTGTTTCTCTCGTAAGGGTGTGTTTATGTGTAGGCATTGAGACGTTCTTTGGAGCGTGTGGAGTGGATGTCATGCAGCTCCTGCTCCTCCTTCGATTTGATGTCCTCATACTTCTGGATCCGGCTAGCGTCCTTCAGATAGCCCCAGTTAGCAGCTAGAGCCATCAGGAAATGGACCTGAAGGAGGAGAGGAAAGCCAAGGTTGATTCAAGTACATATGAAGTAAACCAGAAAACAAACCTCTAGTTTGTTTTGCATATATTGACACCTTTAGTCCAAATGGTACACAAATGAAATACAGATAAAGTTTGGACAAAGTCTGCTTAAACAATAGATACTAGGTGTGTGGACACAATGATAATTCTACCAGGTGCATGTAGTACAATTTTTATTCTTTTGGAGAAAATGTCTGCAAATCTCTTTCAAATGTATTCTATCACTCTTACCACTAAACAGCAATAACGTGCAAAATTCATACTACATACCAATGGTATATCTTATGTACTATATATACTATATACTGTCTATGGTCACAGTACTTTTTTTGCTTTTATACAAAAAGAAACTTAGCTGTTTTGTACGAAAAGAAATGATACAAAAGTCGGGTGGATTGGCGTCACTTGCCAATCAACAAGAGACTATGAAATGTCAATCAAACTTCACAAAAAAGCAACAATTTTATTACATTGAATACTTTGTTTTTGTCTTTTTAGATCTTCCTGTTGCCATCCCACCACCAGGTGCATATTTTCACATGTGCATTGAATTGCATCAACAATACACAATCTATAGGGTGCCCTGATGGGGGTGGTAGATAAAAGAGAGGGTTGCTCTTCTCCCAGTAGATGGCAAACCCCAACTTGGTTAGGAGTGAGATCAATTGAGCTGTATAAAAGGTAGATAAATGAGAGGGAAAGAAAGAGGGGGAGAAATCACTGTCCCATAAATCCATCTTTAAGCTGCACAACCTAACCACACTAATGCTGCTCAGCCCACTTCTGGACAAAAATAACTCCATTTTAGCATTCGCTCACCCTGCAGCTAAAAATAATCCCTCATGGTATCAACAAGCATTTGTGTTAGAGTTGTAGACTTGAGGCAGAGATCTGGTCACGTTTGGCCAACTCAAGAGCCAAGGCAGCAGGCCCTAGTACACTTAGGTATCATCAGCTAATATTAGCTTGCTGCAGATACGGCGACCATCAGACCATCCTCAAATTGTGTGTATTCTTGCTCAGTTGTTAGTTAGTAGTTGACTTTTTTAAAGTACCTGATGACTGTGAATTTAGATTATGTGGACCGAGTAGTAGAGGTGAAATGCTTTTCCCCTATTTTTACACTGTCAACTATCAAATAAGCGCAAAAATGCCCTTTAGTTCCTACGGAATGGCCCCCAGCCTAAATGCATAAAGTACAACCCCTAAATACTCCAGCTGTTAGTGTGGTAGAGGGCTGCTCTTCTCCCAGTGGATGGCAAACCCTAACTTGGTTAGGAAGTTTGGAAGAATTGGGCCGTTATAAAACATGGGGACTTTTCTCTGGACTTGACCATGATGATGAGGTTGTCGAGATAGAAATACATCCTAATGCCAGGGTTGCTTAGCAGCTGCAGTGCCTTGTCCACATTTCTGCAGAAGGTGCGGGGGGCAAGGGAATAGCCAAATGGCTGCCTGTTGTTTCCTGTGTTTCAAAGCCACCTCGACGTGAACTTATGCATCCGTTAAGTTGATTGTGGTGAACTAAGCCCAGCTGAACCAGTTCCAGTAACTGCCTGATGCTCAGCATGTGGAACGTCTTGCGGGCAATGCATTGGTGTAGGTACTTCCCTGTGCGCCCAGAATAGGATTAATATTATGCTGATTAACACAAACAAAAATTCTGTTATCATGACATAAATATATATGTTCTTTGGGTTATACAGTGAAACCTGTAGGCTCAATTTCACAGCGAAAACACCTAGGATAATTATAGTGTAATAACATACTATTATTTATTTTGCTTGTTTTGTTATTGTAAAACACGCATTTTGCTTACGTTTATGTGCTGTTTGAGACATATTTCTAAAATTCCAAGATTCAAATTGATGTAACTCAAACATAAAGATTGAATAAAGGTGTATATCATTTTAAGTAAATCACATTTTTCAAAAATTTCAGGTGGTGTGCCGCGGAACTCAGTTTTTGGACCACTGTATTTCTGAAATACTGCATATGGCCATGGTTGCCATTAGGTGACATTATGACAATGAGTTAATGTTGGCATGTAGTAGTCCTCAAGGCATGATTCTTATCCAGCATGTCCGGTCTGGGGCAGAGTTGACCAAGTACAGTCGAGTAACAACAGCTTGATGTACAATGGTGAATCATTGTACATCAAGTTATCAGTCGGTGGCTCTATGACTATGATTCAAAATTGGCCTATAAATGTATTCAGGCCTGGAGTCTTTTTACAGTTTATTCGTTCATGGCGAAGGTTCAAAATTCCCCAAGCCGCCAAGCCACCACCGTTCAACAATTACTTACAATCTTTGCAATGGAGCACTATCAAGGTCTTTAGGCTTTTCTGACAAAATTTGAGAGGGATGTGACTGATCTGCTAGGAGGATGTAAAAGTACACAACCTGTAACTTCCTGTTGCCAGTAGGTGGCGCTATGACTATAATTCAAAATGGTCTTATAGATGACTTAAGGGAGAGAATATGATTGAGCATTAGATATTTGGGGCAGATTAGACAAGGTATGGCCAAGTTACAACAACTTTATGTCTGCCACAAATGTCTAGGACAAATAGTTTATGGGTTATGAAAGGGGGCAGGGCTAAACTATCGGTGGTCGGGAACAACTGCAAATCAAAAGAAAGAACATTTAAAAAAAATTTTAAAAAAACATATTCGAGTATATAGCACAAGAGCTGTTTCAGTGAGCTTTGTGAGCATTTTTTTCCTATTGTAATTTGACCCACGGATTGGAGGTCATACCAATCAGTGGCAATTAGTTCTCAAGGCCCATAGCCAATCAGATATGAGAATAATGGTTCTCACCATGGCGATGACAGCAGCTCCTGCTCCTGCCAGTGTGCACACGAATAGATGGAAGGTTAAGTCCAGCTGTAACACAAAACACAAGCCATTTTTGGTTGAGTTTAAATTTCTCTGTGTTTTGTTTTGAAACAGGTCACAAATCATATTTGCTATCTGTATCACTTCAAATTTCTTTAAACGTCTCTCCATTTCTTCTTACCTCATTGGATTCACACATCTTGAAGAACTTCTCAGAACCAGTACACACCTTCCTCTCCTCAGAGATGGTCACCACTCCTGATGAACAGAAATATTAGAAACACATATTCTTCATTACTCTGGCCATCTTTTTCACCCATTGTTGTTTTGCAAGAATGCTGATGAATATACTGAAGAACCTTTGGATATAATTTTCCTGCTGCTCTGAACAAGTATCTGAATTTAATTAATAACATAGACTGACATTTATGATTCACTGCTACTGCACTGTTAGTCACTGGAACTGTACAGTGTGACCACAGTGTGCTGCTGGTGGGAATGCACTCAAAGTGACCTGAAAATGATCACAGTGTTGAATCCAAACCTTCATGAACCAGCAATTTTATTCTTGTGAAATGTTGTAATTATTATCCATGAGAAATGTTTATCAAATACATGTATTGGTTTCCTGACAGGAGGCCAATTTGCAGTTAAAAACTTTGGACAGTAGAGGACAGTGCTGCAAGATACTGGTGTGCCTCTTGGTGTGTGTCTTCTGGTGGGCGCTCTGGAGAACAAGATGGTGGCCAGAGCAGTGACTGCATCATGTAAAATAATATAAAATGTCTCAATTGCGCCCCCTACAAAAGTCAAACTTTGAAGGTCTACGCCCCTCACACTGCATGTCCGATTGACATGAAATGTGGCACACCTGTCCGGCTTCGTGTCCCCTACAAACAAGCCTATTGATTGGACCATTCAAGTCCTAGATTTTCTGCCATTTAGAATTTTTTTTAAAACAAGTTTTTTTATTCAATTCTATTCTACTCTTCCTGAACCCTAGATCTGATCTGATTTTTTGATATCTTATTGCGTTTTGAAGATTTTCACCAATAAACTTCAAAAGGAGCAAAATTTGCAAGACATCCACATAAGGACCTGAAACATACCGTGCAAGTTTCATTCTAATCGAATCCAGGAGGGCCAATTTGGGCAATTTTAAGGCATTTTGCCCATTTACTGTTTTTACAGAGGTTGTACTTCAACAAACTACAGATTCCATCACATCAACACCAAATTCGTTCAGTACTATCTTAACAATTTCATGATGAAAAGTTATTCAATTTGTGACTTTTGATGGAACTATGTTGCTGTGGCGTGCTGCAATTTTGTGCCATTCACACAAAGTTGTTTTTGAGGGGCTAGTGATGCTTATAAATGAATGAAACTTGGCATGCTTTAAAATAGCTAAAATATGCTTTTTGTGCTTGGGTGTGGCAAGGGGCATCGATAGCGCCCCTACAAATTTTCAATGAAACAGCCCTCACCTTGACCTAGATGTATAAAATTTAGTAGGCAGATGTATCACATGTACACTGCTCTAAACCCAACAGGAAGTCAGCCATTTTGAATTTAGAGTAAATTTGCCGAATTCCAATCTGGTCAATACAAATTGCTCGATCTGATTGCTTTTTTACTTAAATTTGCTGCGGATCATTACTGGACAAAGCTGATCAAAAGTTGTTGAAAGCGTGTTGTTATCTCATTGTGCTTTGATGATATTGAGCAATGAACTGCAAAAGGGGCGTCGGTGTGGAGTTTGCATGTTCTCCCCGTGCCAGCGTGGGTTCTCTCCACGTTCTCTGGCTTCCTCCCACAAAGACATAAAGCTTAGGTTGATTGCTGACTCTAAAATTGCCCGTAGGTGTGAATGTGAGCGTGAATGGATGTCTGTCTCTTTGTGTCAGCCCTGGCGACCTGTCCAGGGTGAACGGCAGAGGAATGTATTTTTATACCAACAATGGCTTGTGTAACGACGCGACAGTGATTCTGCAGCACTGTTCTCCTGATCTGGAATCTTTTATCATAAACTGCAAACCCTTCTACTCCCCTCGTGAGTTTTCTTCATTCATACTGGGTGGTGTTTACATTCCACCGCGGACCAACATGTAGGAGGCACAGATACTGTGTGTGGAGCGGACCAACCCGGACTCTGAAGTTATTGTCCTTGGCGACTTTAACAAAGGTAACCTCAGTCATAAACTCCCCAAATACAGACAGGTTATCAAATGCTCAACCAAAGAGGAGAACAATTCGATCACTGTTACATCACAATAAGCTGGGCCTATCACGCCATCCCTCACGCTGCACTCGAACACTCTGGCCACGTCATGGTCCATCTGATTCCTGCATACAGTCGTGAGGAAATCAAAGCAGTGGACCAGTGAAGCTATGGAGGATCTTTGGCCATGTTTAGGCTGTACAGACTGGGATGTTTTCAGGACTGCTACCAACAGTCTGGATGAGTACACAGAGGCTATGATGTCATACATCAGCTTCTGTGAAGACAGCTGTGTTCCAACAAGAACCAGGGTGCGTTACAACAACGACAAACCCTGGTTCACAGCTAAACTCAGATAGCTAAGGTTGCAAAAAGAACAGGCAGTGGGGACAAGGACAGGTTTAAAGAGTCAAAATACAGGTTTAGCAAGGCGGTCAGAGATGCTTAACAACAGTACTCTGAGAAACTTCAACACCAGCTCTCAGCAATTGACTCTGCTTCTGTCTGGAGAGGTCTCAGACAGATCACCAACTACAAGCCTAAAGCCCCCCACTCCATGAATGACCTCTGCCTGGCAAACGACCTGAACAAGTTTTACTGTTGCTTTAAAAGACAGTGGGACAGTCCTGACCCCATCCCCCATGACCCCATCCACCAGCTATAGACCACCAGGTCCCCTTCCCCCAGCTCAGCAGGGGCCTGCTCCTCACATCCATACATCCCAGAGCCCCCTATCCCCCACCACAATGACGACTCTTTCTATTCTGGAGAGACACTAACAGACTGTTTAAAAGTCAGAACCCCCGCAAAGCAGCCGTCCCAGACTCTGTCTCTCCCTCCACCCTGAAACACTGCTGATCCGTGTTTACAGATATTTCCAACACCTCATTGGAGACATACCACGTACCCCCCTTCTTCAAGATGATGCTTCCTCAGAAAACCAAGGATCACAAGACTTAATGACCACAGGCCAGTTACCCTGACCTCTGGTTAAGAAGTATTTTGAGTGTCTTGTCATGTCTCGCCTCTAAACCCTCACCGATCCACTACTGGACCCCCTGCAGTTTGCCTACAAAGCCAAAAGGTCTGTAGACGAAGCAGTCAATATGCCGTTCACTTCATCCTCCAGCACCTGGACTCCAGGTTCCTGTTTGTGGACTTCAGCTCTGTCTTCAACACCATAATCCTGTCTCTGCTGCAGGTCAAGCACTCCCAGCTGCACATGCCCGGCTCCACCTACAAGTGGATCACAGACTTCCTGTCTGACAGGAAACAGCATGTGAAGCTGGGGAAACACATCTCTAAATCTTGGAACATCAGCACCTGAAGTTTGCGGATGACACCACCCTCATTAGACTCATCTCTGGTGGTGATGAATCTGCCTACAAGTGGGAGATTAACCATCTGGTGAACTGGTGCGGACTAAACAACTTTGAGCAGTCTAAAGACAGTGGAAATAGTTGAAATACCCCACCTGCACCTATGACCCTGTGTGACTCCCTGTGGAGTCCTTCTGCTTCCTGGGCTCCATCTTTGCCCAGTACCTCAAGTGGGAGCTGAACATCAGTTCCATCACCAAGAAGGCTCAGCAGAGAATGTACTTCCTAAGGCAGCTGAAGAAATTCAACCTGCCAAAGACAATGATGGTGCACTTCTACACTGCCATCATTGAATCCATCCTCACCTCCTCCATCACCATCTGGTACACTGCAGCCACTGCCAAGGACAAGGGCAGACTGCAGTCTATCATTCGCTCTGCTGAGAGGGTGATTGGCTGGAATCTCCCATCCCTCCACGACTTGTTTGCCTCCAGGTCTCTGAGGCGGTCAAGAAAGAGTGGACACACACTGTTTAAGTCCCTTCCCTCTGGCAGGAGGCTGAGGTCCATCAGGACCAATACCTAATGCCACAAAAACAGTTTATTCCTGTCTGCAGCCATTTTACATGATTTACCATTACCATTACCATCGACTGTTCTACCTTGAATCTGGCCCAAACTTCACATGCTTCATAACAGCACAGGAATGAGGACAGCAAGATACCAATATTGACTTACCCGCCAGTTAATTGCAGACAGACATCTGCGTTATGTGACAAACTTCATCTCATTCTTAGAAAATTTATATATTATATGGCTTACACTTCAGATACAGCAACATAATGAATGCTTCTCGTGCCTCATCTAGTGCCACGTGGTGGACAAAGGAAGTTGTGCCAACTTTGCACTACAGTACATCATTTCCATTGTGATGACTAATAAAGTCCAGGTTAGTTCAGTTTAATTAGTTTTGAGTAGGGGAAAGATCTGGGCTTCATTGTGGCACTTTTGTGGCAATTCTGTCACACACAGAGCTTTTTACATAGTGTGTAGTAAGTAAGTAAGTTGCCTGCACTAAGTGGGAGGGCAGTAATCATTCACTGCAGGGGAAATTTGGTGTCCAGGATTATGAGAACCTGTATTTAACTAGCACTCGAAACAACTTCTGTGGATAAGAAAACCATTTTCACTTTAATAAACCCAAAAGGGAGGAAATATAATTGCTTCTTTCAAAATGTATGACTTGTAGTTGTGATCTGAATGATATCATCCAACAAAGATTTGTATGGACACCAGTACTTCTCAGGCAAGAACAGCACAGTATTATGCTCAAAAACAGGTAATTATTAAGCTTGAACTCAAAAAGCCAAGAGAGATAGATGCTTTTCTCTGTCCTCTCCATGCTTTTGAACTGAAGTGAGTGGCACACACCAAACTGACGCAGATCCAGGCAGAGGTTGGCTCCCTCCACCAAGCTGGTGTTCTGACACATGGACCAAACGTTGAAGTACATGAAGACCGGCAGGCTGGTGAATGCTGTCACTCCAAGCCATACTAGGAAGAACAGGTAGGCCAAGAACATCAACTGCAAACACAGAAAAAAGATATAATGAGTGACAAATACGACGTGTTTTGCATCAGTGATGTGCTTTTTGAACATACTAAAACAGTGAAAAATGACTCGTGTTTTTTAAATGAACATTTAAAAAAAATTTGTTTGTCAAAGGTCAAAATCACTGTGACTTCAAAAAACTTATTTCAAGTATTGATCTGCAGAAATGGATGTAAACTGCAACTTAACTTGTTGGCAGAGGAAACTCATGATATGCACTGAATTAAGAATCCAGTTTAATCAACTTAGTGACTGCAATTTATTATCCTATCCCATTATTGAAATATCATAATTCTATATAGAGAATAGGTGTAGAGATTCCATGTTTCTTAAATCAATAATATTTACAGCATATAACTATCACCTACATGTGGGTATATCACAAGATATTGCCTTTTTATGAATGACAATTCATTATAAGGGCATAACTTCTCCGATTTAACCTGAACATGTTTTTAATCAAACAAATAGGAGACAGTGCATTTGTTGGGGACTATTTTCAGTTTAGTCCACATTTGGTGCTCCAGTGAGTATTTGTGGCAGCAGGAGGCTTTACGTGGAATTGTCAAAGTAAACTACTTTGGTTGTGTTCATGGTAATGATGTAACATGTCACCCAGTGCAACAATGTGGCACACTGATGTGTTTTTAACAACAATGGAGCTCTATGGCTCACAGAGGAAGAAGATTTACCAGGGCTTTGATTCACCCGCAATACTTGTCAGTACGATTCACAATTCACTGTTGGTTTTGGTCTTTTCATGGTAATTATTGACCAAAGGAAACATAGGAAAAAATAGGAAATAGGAAAAATGGGATAAAATGTAGTTTTTTTTCTAGCCTTAAACTTGAATACATATTCTTATCCATTAGTAATGATCAGTTACTGCAAACTACCCAAAAACATCTTGCTACAAAGCGCTCTATCCGAAAGTGTAACAATAGAATTTAAAATGCCACTGTATCAAATTAAATCTGCTGGTTACAAAGTTCTCTTACGAATGCAGTCAGGCAGCGTCCGCAGGCAGTGATCTTGAACTCCCCATAGAGATCCCTAATAGCTCCGGTGGTGAAAAAGCCCTCAACCAGCAACAGCACTCCAAACACAAAGAATCCAGCTGCCAGGCCGTAGATGATGTACTTCAGGATGTCGATACTGTGGAGAGAACACACACACACACACAGTGCCAGTGATTAATACGTATGTGTTTATTTCATGCTACACTGCATCTTGAAATGTTATTTGTAGGCATAATATAAGTCAGAGATGATAATTAAAGATGGAAGATGAGTCCGGATCTGGGTTGGGGGGTTGGTTTAGGCAGTGGGTGGGACTACCTGCACTTTTCCTCTTATATTGAGTGGAAAACATGTATGATTCGATAACTTACATTCACAGTTGTGTGACTATTCATTTTCATTTATAACAATTATGAGAAATAAAAACACTCTATAGACTGTGATGAGTCCATCCTAACTGTGATGAGATATGTTTGGCATGAGTGGAATGCTATGTAATTTGTAAATCATCATCAAGTCATCATGCTAAAACATGAAAACCCACAGGTAAGGTCCTTTAATCCTCCAGAGAAATAAAGGGTTACTAAAATAAGTTACTTACATGGTAAACACATCCAGTGTTTCTCCCGGAGCTCTGATGACTTCAAAGTAGTTCTGAAGGATGGTAACGGTGCCGCTCAAAGCCTCGTGGCCACACCCACAGAACAAGGCCACACCCATGTAGAGGAGAATAGTAGCAATGAGAGAGGCCCAGGGCAGACTTCCCACACATCGCTCACAGCACTCCTTGCAGCCTTGACATACACAAAAAGACAGAATTGTAAGGTTGGCAGCATCTTAACATACAGTATGATGAAATCAATTAAATAAAAGTTGAACAGCAAGTGAATGGCAATCGACAGAATGTCAGTATATACTAATAAGATGATTCGGAAAGCTGATAGTTAGTACACACAATGGTAATGAAGATATAAGGTAAGTACAAGATCTTAAGGATTAACAGAGAGAGTTACACAGCTTAAAAATGAACAAATTAAACCAACCAACATCAAAACATCTTTCTAACAAAGTAGAGAAAGTAATGCAAATCAATGACACAAGCACCCCCTCCCAATGAATTTTACTCTTAAAGATTTAGCTCCATTGACAATGGAGAAACAATTATTACAAAACATGTCCTAACCACATTCTGAAGTGTATTCACACATTTTGAATTTATTGATGATCAGTTGATGTTTATAATTATCTGGCTTTAGCCTAGAGCCTTTATCTCCTCTATACAGTAATATTAATTAACACACAAAGCTTGTATACATACATACTTAGTTACTGCTGACACAATGCAAAGACATACATCAATCTGTGGCAGCTGCAACACTTCAACGTTTTGGTGCCATCTTACCCAGAGTCAGCTGAGACAATCAATATCACTTTCTACTCTGTGTCCAGTACATACAGTACATCCATGAGCCTCCCTAAGCTCTTTAAATTACACTTGTCGGGCACTTATTAGAGAAGTTAGGCAAACAGGCGGTTAGAGCACCATTTTCCATCCATTAAAAAATCTGATTAAACCAGAGCAACCAGATAATTTATGAAATGTGATGTTACTGTTGAAGTTATTGAAATAATTTCAAACAAATTCCATCCACTTCACCGACACTCGCATGCACAGTGTACGCAAACAGTCATGTGATATTCATCTTCAGGGTTGCTAGCATGGACAGAAATCAGTTCACAAACGACGCTAAAACGCATGTGTGGACGGAGATCATTTTTTCTTTTAAAACCCCGTTTTTAAACGAAAACGTATTAGTGTGGATGTAGCCTTAGTCAGTGTTGATGAAGATTTACCTGTGATCACTCTTTGTCTTTTCTATGCCATCCTGCAGTGTTTGGCATATCTTGACGTGATCAAATAGAGTTCTCCGCCTGCAACATTGTATAATTGTGCAGTGGCCTTGAATGATGCACCAACAACTGGATTTAAGCAGACATTTTCACTTGTGTGGCTGCCTTTCCAACTGTGATTTGCTGCAGTTGCAACCAGATAAAGGCTAATCTGTCCTCTTTTAGAATAGTGAGGGGTAAAGGCCACAGTACAGGGCAGAGGTTCCCAGTCCACAAATACATCAACAACCCACATATCCATGTTTATTACAATGTGATTTTCTTGAAACCATGGATACTGTAATAAGGATAAGGATAAGGATGTTTATTGTCATTGTAACAATAAACATCAGGTAAATACCATCTTGCAGGAGGTACAGTAAGACTCTTTTACTATGTAACTTAATCACACATTAACAGTATGTGTCCAGCTTAACTGCAATAGGTCTGTAACAAATAATTAGATTCAATGCGGATTGTTGTATTTCACCAACTGACCTGCCTTGCATGTGCATGTAAATGAGAGAATTAGACTACATGGTGAGGGCAGGGTTGGGGTTGGGTTTAATCAAGTGACACCCACCACATCTGACTGGTATAATCACTGTGGACGTCTTTTAAGACGCAGATCCGTTCAGTGCTGCTAGATGCTGAATCCAAAAATGATCTTAAGTGTAATGAAAACTATTTAAAAATTTTTACAGCTAGAAATACATCTATCAATGGTTTTCCACAAGGATTCTTGATCTATTGATTTAGAGAAGTTTCTTCTAATGTCGAGGTGATCTCACAAAAACATGTGAAATGACCACAACCTCCTAACAGCGCAATACTGGGTGGTGGTGTTAAAATTGCTTAACATTAGGTTTAGGCAATATAACTCATGTTATATTTATACAACAAAACAGTTAGGATTTGGAAAAACATCATGGCTGGGCTTAAAGTAAGTACGTAAACTAAGTACAGTAAAACATGTCACGAACGTAACTTCACAATAACTCAACAACACTTTGGGACGTGAACACATCTTCCGGTTGAAAGCCCTGTCTTTATTTGACCCACACACCATCCCCCCCCCCCCACCC